ACCTGTTGAAGCCAAAATATTTTTAGCTCCGGAAAAGAAAAATATAAAACAACTTCTTCATTTGGTATTAATTGTAAGCTATAAACAAAAATGTAAATTTATTTTTTCAACAGTTTCCTAAAAATTAGAATATAACCACACTTAATAAAATTCTCATGAGTGAATTTTCTAATTTTCAAAATTTTAATAAAGGTTTGGACAAAAATTATCAAAATTTATCCTTTAACAAAAGTCTAACCGTCAATTTTGCTATATAATAAACGGACTAAGTTAAAAATATGCTAATTAAGTAACGACACCTAACAGAACAGCGACATGAAGAGGTAAATTGTTATTTCTGATACCTCAGGGCGAAATTATCATTAAGAAACCTCAGGGGAATGTTGTATTACACTTGAAAAAATGACGAATTATAGAGAGAATGTTGTTGGGTTTCTGTTTTGAGTTTTGATTTTGAAGATCAGTCGTAGGGCAACGGATACATTAACAGCAAAGTTAGAAAAAGCTGTTAAAGTTAGTTTATATCTAACAGTGTTAAGGGTTTCCGTTAGTTTTGTTAGCTAAAATGATGCGTTTTGACAAAGACACGTTATATCGAGATACTACATAAGAACAGTAAAAGTGCAGCTGCTGCGCTCTAGAGCTAAGTGGAGATTCTTCTCTCGATCAATTGTGCATTCCATAAATCTTTTATATAGAACTCTTCGAAATTTACTATCATCCAGACAAGAAATTCTCTCCTGTGGACATTGGATTTTATGTTCATCAATGTCTCGTAGATGTTAAAATTGTGTTTCAGCCTTTATTGCTGTGAACGACACTAAATTGTTGCCTTATGTCCATCAAATGTATCAATCTTACTCCTCCTTTAGAAGATTTGCATCGATGTTTTTTGAGATTAGTCAAAATCCACGAAATTTGCTTGGAGTAGGACCATCTTCTTGTAGCTTTTCATATTCCAATCCATTTCACCAAGCTTCCCTCACTCTTTGAACAACCTGAATTGTTGCCTTGTAGCTCTTGTAATGCTGCATCAGACCTCCCTCCATCACAGCCATAGTGACCTCTTTTTTTTTTTTTTTTCTGGGTCTAATTCTACCCTTTCTTTCATACTCTCAGCAGCATTTCCTTCTGTTAATTTCATATATATAATTAATATATAAGACCATTAAAATAAAAACTAAGTCAGTCCATGTTTCGCATTGCTGTAGCTTAAAGATTATTATCTTAAGCTAGCGTTCGAAAGAGTCTGATAAACTGAAGTGACTAAATTTTTTAATTGTATATAATCAGTTTTAAAAGAATTGTAAAGATACCATAATTAGCAATGGCAATATACATGCGTGAAGTCCAGTGCTTGACAGAGCAATGGCAAATGAATGTTTCAACAGACTTTCAAACTTCTCACCTGCTAAAAAATAATGACTTTTAGAGTACGTCCAAATGAATTAGGATTTTTCTCTTCAAGATCTTGTGCCATGTGAAAACAAGAGCGCCACGTGGAAATGGACTGGACGTAATATATCTCGACGACATATTCTCATCCCATATATAATAATTTAGAAGCAAAAATTGAAATAATAGTTCCTCTCTTGATTTTTTTTTTAAAATCATTTTCTTTCATTTTCCTATACCTCTAATTAAGGCCATCTCAAGAACATTTGTGACCCTAGACAAGAATTATTTAAGGGGTTTTCTAGTAATATAAGCATACATTAAAAAATTATTTCAAATTTATTTTTCTTCCTTTTTGAGATACAAAATCACTAATTAAATTTTTATATTCAAGTTTAGAAACCAAATCTTTTTTAATTGATAATATAGCCAAATTACCTAATCTTTCTTGTAACATAATTGAACGCAAATAAGATTTTATTAACTTTAATTTTGAAAAACTTGTTTCTATTGAAGCTATAGTAACAAGAATAGTTAACAGTATTTTATAAGCTATCCATGCATTTGGAAAAGAATTCACTTTTTTTTATAAAATCTAGTATCTCAAATGGTGTTTTAATTTCCACGTTTATAATTTCTTTTAAAACTTTTAATTCTAAATATAAATCTAAACCATCAATATCAGAGAGCATGTCATGTTTTAAAAAGTTTTCAAGATTTAAACAATATTTCTGCAAACTATCATCATCAAACAATTTTAACTTTTTTATATTATAAATGAAACCAAAATTATTACTATATATTTCAAATTATTCAAACATACTTTGAAGTGAGGAAATGACATGATCAACTAAATATGTAAAATAATTTATTCTAAAAGATTTTTTGGCAGACAATTTCATCTCTTCGTTTTCATCCTCATCAAATTGTTTTTTTCTCTTTATTATACGTTTTTCATGAAATTTTGGTTCTATATTCATTTTCTTTGCAATTTCTTTAGTAGAAATCATAGAAGATGTAAACTCATTTTCTCTATATTTTTCAAACAATGAAACAAGACCTTTCAACTGATCTATTGCAGACACAATATCCATATTTTTAGATTGTAAATATTTACTAACCGTATTAATAGCAAATAACATTTCATACCAAATATTCATGCCTAATAGAAATTGAAAATTTTCAATCTCATATGTTACTAAAGAAATAGCTTCACTTTTTGTTTTAGGATCTTCACTAGTTTCTGCTAATTGATATAAAGCATCTTTTATTTGTGGAGTTTGAAATTTTATTGCTTTAACACTTTCAACACGACTTTCCCAATGTGTTTGTGATAATGGCTTAAGTGTCTAATTAGAAACATAATCTTGCAAAATTTTCCATCGTTTTGTAGAAGATTCAAATAATGAGTATATATGTTGTGTCACTCCAAAAAATGTAATAGCATTAGCACATGAATTAGTCATATCACAAAGAACTAAATTAAGACTGTGACAACCACATGATGTATAAAATGCTCTAGAATTTATATCTAATAATCTTTTTTGCACACCTTGATGTTTACCTTTCATATTAGGCCCATTATCATATCATTGTCCTCTTATATTTACATCAAGTTCAAGATTTTTTAATATACTTGTGAGAACATTAAAAAGGCCTTGACCAGAAGTATCATCTACTTTTATAAAATCTATAAAGTACTTTTCTATTTTTATTGGATTTATTAAAATATCTACACATCTTAATATAAGTGACATTTGTTATTGATAACTTGTATCAGGGGTACAATCAAGTATAACTGAAAAATATTTTGATTTTTTGATTTTTTTTTAATATTGGTATTTCTTATTTCTAATGCTAAAATATTTATCAACTCATTTTATATATTATGACCAAGATAATGAGTATGAATTTCTCCATTTTGAATACGTCTAAGGTGTTCTTGCATTATTGGATCAAACTCAACAATCATTTCAATTAAACTCAAAAACATTCCATTATTTTCTTGATAAATCTTCTCATTTGTACCACAAAATGCCAAATTATTTTCTTGATAAACATTCCAATGCTCTTTCTCTTTATTTATTTTCTCATGTAAATATTTATCAATTGTTTTGTTTTTAAGCAATCTCATTTCAACATCAACCCAAATGTTCATATTTATAGCATGTTCATTGCTTGTTTCATGACTTTTAAGCTTGGCACTAAGATTTTTCCAATCTCCACACCCTTCATTTGCTAATTGAATTGTATTTGCTTTTAAACTAAATAATTTACAACAAAAACAAAATACTTTATTTAATTCTTTTGAATATATTAGCCATTTTCTATCATGTTTTTCTCCATTTGGTAATTTTCGAATGTAATGAATTGTAGAAAAATGTCTAGAATTTTCATCTCTTGGAAAATCTAAAACTTGTCTAATTGGACCTTTCTCAACTAATAAATCACATAAGTTTATGTCTAAATTATTCCAGTGTACCGGGTCATAAAAATTTTTAATAGTTGTTTTATCTTTATCATTAATATTTTTATTTTTGTCGAATGGAATTTCTTTTTCTAAATTTTCATGAGACTCTTCACTAGTATTTGATGAATTTGAATTGTTATCTTTAAAAATTTCTTCACAATTTTCAATTGATTTTTCATTTAAATCTTCATTTGGTTTTTCTAGTATTTGGGGTTTTGTATTAATAACAAATTTATCAAGTGCACCTTTTTGGGATTGAATTAGTTCTCTATTCTTTTTTTTTTTCCTTATGTTTTTCAAATCCAGATTCATACTTCCTAGTAGACATCTATATTCAAAGAATAAATAATTTAGAGCTTTTAATATTATTTTGTTAAAATAAAATAATTATAAAAATTAAGAAAGAACTTTAGCACCTGATTTATGCTCCTGATTTTGTTTTTCGCTGTGCTGATACTCAAAAATCTTATATTATTACCCTGCATAAAAATAATAATGTAAATCAGTTATTCACTTGATCAAATATAAAGTAAAATCAGTTGAGAATGCTAAGAGTAAAATGATTTAAAGCTCTTAATATTACCTTGCATAAAAATAATAATAATGTAAATTACATTCACTTGATAAATTTACGTAATAATTAAAGATGAGAAAGGAGAGACAAAAGATGAGAAAGGAGAGACAAGAGAGTAAACTGAGTAGAGAATAATAAGAGTAAAAGATGAGAAAACTTTAAGTGAAATGAGGTTTATATAAGAGATTTGGAGGAGAGAGGAGATGTGATTTGACATTTGAGAGTTGAAGAGTTGCGTGAAGGTGTTTCAATTTTCAACGGAAAAATGAGCTGCCAATTGTGTTTTAAGTTTAAAGATAGGCATGGCTGATTGGACATATGGTGGGATTGATGGGAATTGAGAAATTATGAATTTATTCAAAAACTCTTAAAAAAATTATTTTATGTAGAGATAGGCATAGGCGAGTACATGGTGGGATTGATGAGAATTAAAAACTTATAAATATATTAAAAATATTTAAAAAATAATAATTTTAGGCCCCCTTTTTCACCCCCTTTTTGGGGGGCCCTAGGCAAGGGCCTCACCTGCTAGGGGTTAAGTCGGGCCTGGCTGGAGAGATTTTATGCCTTCATAATGTGAGAAGCAACGTCTCTGCTCATGCTGGCCATGAAATCGAGATAGGCAACTGGATCAGAAACGTCCTTGTTTCGTTTCTCGTATTCGATGCTCACCGTCGCAACGCTGCCGTTGCCCCGCTGTTTTGGTGCAACATTGAAGACGGGTTTCCAGAACTTGAAGGTCTTGTAGATGTCTCCTTCAATGCCATGGATAGTTACTGTCATATGCTCATCATCTACTTCAACTTTCTCCTTGAAAGTCTCAGCTCTCCCTTCTGATAATCTTAATTCAATAACCTTTTTTGGATTTCAATTTTCACGATTAAGATTTCATGAGATATAATACCCAATTATCTCAGACAATCTCAATTTAATACTGTTGTATTTTAATAGTCATAATTAAGATTTCATGAGATATAAAACCTTATTATCTTGACAATCTTAATTTGATAATTGTTCCAACCAAAAAAACAATCACTCCTTATAAATTATACTCAATATAATTGTTGCACGTGGATAGAGTATATATAACTTTAACAATAATAAAGGGAAATGTGATTTAAAGGTAATAACATCTTCAACAGTATCAGAATAGGCTCACACGCAACCCCACATGCCAAAAATAGTCACATCGCTCTCGCACATCAGAAACATCACTTCATGCATCGACATGCCCCCATACATGCTCACATGCACTGCCACTTGCTAGAAGATCACCTTCATGCGCCAGAAAAGAGTCTCACTCGCATTCACACACCATGCGCCAAGAAACACTATCACGCACCTCCACGTGCATTGCCAATGGTCAGCGTTGATCGAGGTGAGTTGACTATGTTAGTTAGCGGGTCGGGTTAAACCATGTTCATCGGGTCAAGTGACTTTGTTTGCCCGAGTTGGGTTGACTCGAGTTGACCTAATCGAGTCGCATGACTCACTTTGATTTTTCAGGTCAGGTTGACCCTGTATGACCGACCCAACCCGGTTTGACCTAATCGAGTTGGCTAGCCCTAATTTAATAAATATCAAAAAACACCCTAATATTTATAAAATTCTTTTACCCCCTAAATGTTTAAAATTGACAATTTCACCCCTGCGATCTGGAAATTCTAGATCTATAATTTTGGACTCTAGCAACAAAAATTCAGCCTTTCAACCCTCCAATGGCCAGAAAAAGGCTCTCAAATGGCCGGAAAAGCCATATATGGGTTCAAAACATAAAAGCCCCAATTTGGGTTCCTTATCTATGCAAGAACCTTAATTTTCAATATGAACTCTAAAATCAATTTTGATTTTGATCCCAATTATAACCTAATATGTGTGGCTCTGATACCACATGTAATAATTATTCACCAAATGTGAATATAAATCAATGCATGAAATCTCAAATATTGAGTTAAAAAAACCAATATAATATCTATGCATTCAGATCTTAATAACCCACATATTAGTTTATAAAATACTGATATTAAATTAGGAATAAGACAAATCTAATTTATTCTATTGTCTCTAATTCTTGAAAGAGATTGATTGTTGATCAAGAGACTTGTCTTCTTTTCCAAGAACGCGCAAATATGACGATATTTTAATGGGAATAATCAATCGTGCATTTGGAAAATGGACATAGCCAATTTATATATCTGTCTATTAAATCTCTCTATTAATGGCCTAATAAACCCTACACACTAGTCGTCATAACCCAAATCAATTAAATATGAAGTGTATAAGACTTTCAAAATAAAGTATCACAAAGCCCATGAAAATATCTCATTGGACTATGTGTTTATCTGGTTTAATTAAATCAAAACATAATTCATGTTAGCCCATAATTAAAAAATTTCCAACACTTCTCAAGTGATGACAAATTAATATTTGGTAAATGACCATATCAGTCTGAGTTCCACATTCATCTTGACTTAGTGTGGCAGAGATTCTTCTAGGATATTTCTTTCCACCATCAATGTATATTTGATCATTGTCAAAAGGATGACACCTAACTTAAATAAACTCCTAGAAAAGAATATATATATATATATATATTTATTGATCATTGTCAAAAGGATGACACCTAACTTAAATATATTCTAGAAAAGAAATGTTATTATATATAATTTGTTTGAATGCGATATCAGTCTCAGTTTCACATTCATCTTGACTTAGTGTGGCAGAGATTCTTCTAGGAACTTCTTTCCACCATCAATGTATATATTTTCTATGAATCAAGTTATACGCTAGACTACTTACCCATTGTGAAACCAGTAGCAGCAGTTGAATCCAGATTTCAAAACAGGAAAAAAAAAAAAAAAAAATCAATTCCCAGGCTTCTTTTCTTCACTATAATCTATTATCTAAAGTAACTTATTGAGTATTGGTTATTGTGTTTTTCAGATATATGTTATACTCTCATACTTCATTTTTTGTTCTTATAGCATATCAAATTTACTTTTTTATTTTCAAATTTCTCAATCTTTAATTATTACAATATGCTAAATTCACCATTTTTATTATAATACTTTCTATTTATATAGTTATAAAATACTTTCTTTATATTTTAACTTGTTCTCTTCGATCTATATTCATAAGACTTAAATAAAATTTTGATAAATTTCTTACAATTTTATTATTGAATTAGTATTTCTAATTATAACTTCAAACTTATGTTCACTTCTAATTTGTGAAATCTAAACATTCAGTAAGAATTTTAAATGAACTCTAAGACATATATCTATTTTTTAAAAATTTTTTGGTCTGGCCCCCTTTTAAGTAAAATCTTTGCAGTCTTTTTCTGTACATTTATGTTTCTGTACTAAATTTTGTTTTATACTTATTTGTATCATGAAATCAATGGTTTAAAGCCAATGGTGTATACAAATATTTATAAACTTTTGTTCTTTAATATTCTTTTTGGAATATGTGTGGAGTTAAATTTTGTTTTATGGATTATTCATTCATGTTGGTGGCATAAATAATGATTATGTGGTGGAACAACATAAGAAGAGATGAATACTTCAACTGTCCTCTTTAGATAATATATCGAAATTATGTTGCAATAACTTTTATTTATAGGTGTTGAAAACATAATTGCAATAATTATGTTATTTCTAGTATAATTTGTTTAATCTCTTCTACATAATTGAATTTTAGATTTAATGCATTATGATTTTTTCTTCTTTTGTAATGTATATTTGTGTTGAAAGGATGAAGAGAAATCTTCTTCTACAAGTTCAAGTAAACGAAAATGCAGAGAAAGCAAAACAGAGAACAAAAACTGAAAAGCTGAAAATGATTCTTTTTCTAACTAACTGAAATAGAGTACACGTGTTGAGCTTATAAGCAAGTATTGCATGATAAAGGAAACGACATCGTTTTACAATTCTTTTTAGCTAAATTCCACTTTTGTCCTTCATTCTATCATTCCCCCATAAACTAAACATTTCTATTTCTCCTATACCATTCTAATCTCATATTTCTCTTCATCGTAACATTCTGCACTTTTCACAACTCATCTGCAGTTTTTCAACATCAAATCAAACCAACAACTTAGACCGACTTCTTCGTCTTTCTTTCCCATTGGTTCACATTAGCTCAAATCTTTCAGCAAACACCAACTTTCTCTAACTATTTTTCAGCAAACAACAACTTTCCCAACTGCTTTCTTCAGTAATATTAACAATTTCTCTAATTACTTTCTTCATCAGTCTTTTTCTCCCACTAATTCACCACTTTTATAACGACTCTGCAACTTTAACTTTTCCCTAACCACTAAAATATATGCCCAGACAAGGGTTTTGTTAGTATATCTGCCAGCTGGTATTCAGTGCCTACATAATGCACACTAATTCGTTATCAGCAACAACTCCGAACATAATGACATCATTTCAATGTGCTTCGTTCTTGCATGAAAGACAAGGTTTGATGACAAAGCCCCTGCACTCATGTTGTCACACCACAGTACAGGCGTGAGTGTGTTTTCAATTCCCAGTCTGTAAACAAATTCTGAATCCAAACCATTTCAGTGGCAGCTTGACACAGGGACCTATACTCTGCTTCAGTAGATGAAAGGGAGACTACCTTTTGTTTTCTTGAACACCACTGAATCAAATTTCCTCCCAGAAAAATTCCATATCCGCTGGTTGATTTCCTATCGTTAGTGTCACTGGCACATCGCATCAGCATAAACTTCAAGAATAAATTTTATCTCTGGGGAATAACAAGCCATGATGAATGGTCCCTTGAATGTATCGAAGTACTCTCTAGGCTGACCAGTGAGCAATCATAGGTGTCTGCAAAAACTGACTAAGTTTATTTACAGCAAATGCTATATCTAGTCTGGACAGGTTAAGTACGAGGCTCCCAACAACCTTTCTATAGAGAGTAGGTTGATCAATAATTGACCATCTCTTTACTGAGCTTTGTGTTGAGCCATAGGAGTCTGACAAGGTTTTGAATCTGCCATGCCAGCTTTATTAGTAGCTATGAGCAAACTGGTTTGCGGTAGAGCAGTGAGGATTCATTTCTAGTCACTTCAAACCCAGAAAGTAGTTAAGAGACCCCAAGGTTTTGAGAGCAAATAGTTTGTTTAAATCTGTCTCAATTTGCTTAATAGATGATATCATTCCCAGTGAGGAGGATATCCCTACATACACAGTAAATAAATGACTTGAGCTTTCTTTTAAAGTAGAATAGACTAACATCAGCAGCAGAATTCTCAAAACCCTAAGACAGTAAACAACTTCAACTTGTCAAAACCAGCTCTAGGAGCTGTTTTAAGCCATACAAGGCTTTATGTAGCTTAAAACATACTTGGCAAATGGGGATCAGCAAAACCTCGGGTTGATACATGTAAATAGTCCAGTTAGCTCACCGTTAAGAAAAGCGTTGTTGATATCAATTTGCTGAATATCCCATTGATGATGAACTACCAAAGATAACATGACTCTTATGGTGGTGCTTTGATAACCGGTGAAAAAGTCTAAAATAGTCCAAGCCTGGTGTTTGCTGAAATCCTTTGCAACAGCCTTGCTTTTATACCTTTGCAAAGATCCATCAGAGTTAGTTTTTGGTTTTAAAAACCATTTGTTGTTTACTATATATCCCAGACATACAAGGCACCAGCTCCCAAGTATGATTGTTCATAAGTGCATTATATTCTGTCAAAATTGCATCTTTCCATTCTGGTGTATTCAAGGTTCAGTGGCAGATTTAGGCTCAGCTAGAATTGTCTGGCTTGATAAATAGGTAAGGATTGAATGAATTCAGACTGCTTTTGGACCTGGTTACCATCGGGTGAGTGTTGAGTATTCTTGGTTTGAAACTTAGGAAAACACAAGTCAACTTCCAACTGAATTCTGGATGCTCAGAAGAAGATCTGTACTTGTAAGTGTTGTGCATCTATCAGGTGGTTGATCAGCAGACTGATATTGTTGTAACTTAGGACCTGGAACATGTTGCTGTGCTGGAAAATGTACCAGTTGAAGCTTGTTGGGCTGTGGGTGAATTGTAGACTGAGTGTAGGGGACCTTACTGGGGATGATGATCCGGAAGGGATATGGCTGCTGAAACATTTTGCTGGCTGGAAAATGCACTCTAGATGAAGTATTTTCTGAGTTGTAGGTGTTGAGCAGATGGACTGTTAATGATGTAGAGAGGATCTTACTGGTGGTTGATAATCTGGATTTTGACCTGCCACAAACTCAGGGAAACTTGTAGTTATTGGATCTGAAGAATAGATATGATTGTTTGGAATCTGCCATGGTGTTGAAAGATATGGGAGCATTAGTCAGTCCAGCAACCTCACTG